TTGATCTCTTTTTGTTTTGTTTCGGGTTCTTGGTGGTGTTCATGAGTTACGTAGGTTGATTAAGTTGATCAAATCTTTTCGAGCTTGTTCCCCCCATATTACTAAAAAAATAAATAAGAAAATATAAAAAACACTAAAAAATATATTTTTTATCCCCCCCCCCCCTTTGTGTTTTGTCTAGGTTATTGTATAAGTTTTTATCTACCAAGTTCATATTATAAGTGTTTGTTTATAAGTTATTTTAAATATAAGTTTTTATACTTTATCTACTTATATATTTAGTATGTGTTGTGTGTAAGTTATATAATAGATTTTTTGTTTATATTAGTTATATATAAGTTCTATGTTTATTTAGTTATAAGTTCTATTATAAATTTTATAAGTTCTTATCATATGTATTTTTGTTAATTTTCTTTTATTTTTATTTTGTGACAATATTGTGTGTGCTAAATTGGTTTTAAAAAGTACAAATTTTTTCTGTGAGATGAACCCTTACTTGCCTAGCGATAGTTTTTAATTGAGTATATCTCTTTGGGGTTAGCTAAGGATTATTTTATAACTTTTACTTTGTTTTGAGCCACAAAACGGGTGCTCAACGATTGTCTTAAAATACTTATCTGTGACACTAATTTTTTCACTTTTCTTGTTCGACGTCTCAAAACAAACTTCCATTTTTTCCTTTTTTGAAAAAGAATGAAGGCTAAAATCCATCATTGGTCTTTCAACTTTATCAGTTGTGCACGATTGGTCCTTCAAATTTTAAAAGTCCATATAAAGTCCTTCAACTTTATGAGTTATGCACGATTGGTCCTTCAAATTTTAAAAGTGCATAAGTAGTCTTTCAAGTATACGTCGGCCCTCCAGATGAGATCCTTTTGATAGTTAATGTTAAAAGCTAAATGGAATACTAGCTCCATATAATACAGAGTAGTCGTACCTAGTGGAATTTACTCGTACTATATGAAACTAGTATTTCGTTTAACTTTTAATATTTACTGCCAAAAGCACTTCATCTGGAGGGCTGACGTGTACCTGAAAGACTAATTATGAACTTTTGAAACTTGAATGACCAATAGTGCAGAACTCATAAAGTTGAAGGACTATTTTTGGACTTTTGAAACTTGAAGGACCAATCGTGCACAACTGATAAAGTTGAAGGACCAATGGTGGATTTTAGCCAAAGAATGAATGGTGAAAATTTTCTTTTCCAAATAAATTCTAACCACATATTTTCATTTGAAATATTTGCACTAAATAGCACTAAAATTTAAGTCATTTCTCTAAATAGCACTTAAATTGTTTTATTTCCTAAGTAGCACTTAATAATGTCTATAATGACCAGTGATGAAGAATATTTACTTGAATAATGACCAATGTATAATGACTAAAAGTGTTATATTGGGAAGAAAAACACATGTAGTGCTATTTAGGGAAAGTCATTATGTTTTTGTGCTATTTGAGTAAATTTCTCATTTCATTTCTACTCTTTCTGTTCCATAAAATATTGACTGACATCTTATATTCTTAAAAGTGGACTTTCCATTAAAAGAATCATTTTTATTTTGACTAATTCTGACCTCACATTTCTCATTATATTTATTTACTATTTATCTACACATCACATTAAAGAGCAATTTGGACAAGTCAACGAAAAATATCTCTTTAAATTTCTTAAAAGTGAAAAATAGAAAATGTTTTGTGGGAATCTTTTGGTAATATCAATTTTTTGGATGGGTCAAAGGGATTAATTTAGAATGTGAAAATATTCCTGCGTTCATTGAGTTGGCTACGGACAAAGAAAACTACTATAAACAACTGAACCCAACAACACATCATACATCTCTCTTTTTCTTCACATGCACTCATCCTACAGAGACCTTTAAGTGTAAAGACAAATCCCCATTTTGGATTTCCGCCCTTCAAAATTCCATTACACCCCACACCCTCTCTCTCTCTCTCTTTTTATGGTCCTTCCACAATCATATATGGTATGGATATGATCGTTTCCTCTGCATAGAATTAACAAATCCCAGCCACAATTCACCCATCATCCTATACTAGTCTGATCTTTTTGCGCGCAAGCAAATAAGTGTACTGTGTTTGTTTGTTTGTTCCATGGATGCAACAACGGAAAGTTGTGTAGGAAACGGAAGCAGTAAATTGGGAAGGGAAGAGATTCAAGACGCCATTGCCAAAGCGGCGGAGCTGAGGGCCCTCCATGCCGCTCTGGTGCAGAGCGGTGGCAGCCCAGCAAGTCTCAGATTCTCTACCGCTTCATCACCTCATCCTCTCCCTCACTTCTCCGCACAGGATTACCCGGTTTTCACTCCTGTAAGTCCCATCCGTCATTTCCTTTCCTTCAGCTGCCTTCTCCCATTTCAAAAAAAATGATTCGTTGAAGGATGAGATCGAGCTGAAGCTACTCCATCCGTCCCTCCTGAAATGAAATAATCTTTCCTTATTCACACCTTCAAATTTTAGGAAGAAAGACTAAAGTAGAAGTAAAACATTGAAAATATATATCAAAATATGATTTCCATGTTTTTATTCTCAAAATATGAGTTAAAATGCATTTACATTACCAAACATGCTTATGTACATTACCAAAAAGTATAGTAATGTGCACATGTACAGTGCCACATTACAACCACATTACCACAGTGTGAACTCTTATTTCGAGAATAAAAATATCAAACTCCTATTTTGGTATTTTTTTTTCTATCTTGTAGTCATATTTAGGGTGATTTCTACAAATTTTATTCTGGGTGTGTACTTGTTTAATGCTATTTTAATTCACCGGATACTTATTTTACACTAGACATTACTAAGTACTCCGTACTATTTAAGAAATAAAAAAGTTTAAGTTCTATATTTAGAAATGACTTACGTTTTAGTTCTATTTACTGCAAATTTTAAAATAAACAGATATTTTTTTATTTTGTAAAATTTTTAATGTATGACGGAGTATACTCATTTTACTTTTGATTTTTATACTTATAATAAAATAAATTAGATAAAATTTATTTTCCATACAATCTCGTAATTCAGAATGAGTAATTCAATTGCTATACCTATACATATCATCTTATCTCGATCATATTCTCTTATATGTGGAATATACACCACCCTTCATTCCAAAACACATTACCATGTTACTATTTCCAATAATTTTTATTTATTTGTATGTTTTCTTTCTATCATTATTATTTGATAAATAAACGGGTCACTTTTTATGAAACCTTTTTCTTAGCTTTAAATATTTAAGTTATATTTTTAATTTCCATATCAATTTATAAATAGAACAAATTTAAAAGACAGTGATCAATTATTAAACGCAAAAACCTCTGAGGCCCAACTCAGATGGGCAAGGCATCATGTGAGCCTTGTTGCGACCTATGGGTTCAAATTCTGGAAGCGTCTTTTTAGACGATCCAGCCCCTTGTACGGTTAGATTGGCCGTGACAAGTCATGTTGTCGATAGCTAGTTGAGTCACGTGTTACCCGCGATTTACCTCTTCTACCAACTTCAATGAAGTATTTTGGGGCCGTGGCAGACCTCGGGTTGATAAATTTCCATTGTTGTCATAATAGGAGAA